CGCCTCACAGAGGTTTTGATTGGCATCTGGTTCCTCGGTCATCACCTCCACAGCCTCCCACTCCCCCGACCGGCTGGATTTCTTGATGGCCTCTACCACACTCTGCATGTAGAGACCATCCTCAAAAGAGGCTGCCATGGAGACAGGTTGATGATCCCACGTCCGACGGTCTTCCTGGTCTTGGAAGGACTGCCGCAGCGCTTGCACCATGTACACCATTCCTTTTAGGTAGAGCAACGGGATGTCTTTAAACCCCTTGTCCAAAAGGCCCTTGTTGACAGTCAGAGCGTCTGTAAACAGCAGTTCTTCCTGGAGTGCCGTGTTTTTCTGCCCGTACAGGTCCGTGCCGCGAGCTACGAGGCGACCGGCAGACCCGACGACCATGACTTCGTGGAGGAACGATCCAGGCATGTTGAAGTTGAGGGTCACGGTGCAACAGACGCCCTCGCTCATCAACATCTGGAAAAAGCAGAAGTCGTCGCTAGTGACGTGGCGGATCCCGCTTATGGCAGTGTTCTGCTTCACGAAAGTCTTGAGCAACCCGTGGACCTTCTCCGCTCTCCGGCTGATGAGGTGCGTCAGGAGGTCGACGATGTAGGTGCCCATCGTGTGCAGACCCCCTCCGCCCATCAGCTCATCGCAGATCCAGTTGTACTTGTGGCTGAGCAAGCTTCCCCCGTACACGCGCACGTCGCAGACCATCACGTTGCCCACGTAGCGGTCCTCTATCAACTGCTTCATCTTCACAAAGGCGGGCAAGAAGCGGAGAACGTTGCCAACGATGCTCATCAGCTTGGGGTAATACCTGGCAGCCGTGACCATCCTGAAGGCATCCAGGGAGGTAGCAGCTTTCTCACAGATCACGTTCTTCCCTATTCCTGCAGCACAAATGGGAAAAAACACACCAAACCCGTAATATAGCACACACGAGCGAAACGTGCTCGGATGCCCCAAAAGGCTGCCGAGAAATGGTGTTTTTAGAAGTCAGGCTTTCCTGCTGCAATTTCAAAGGCAAAGGTCTGGGAAC